TAGGTGCAAGCCTCGCTCCTGAGTGGTTTGTGGTTACGCGGCGATGAGGCGTCTCGATGTCCATTTTTCATCTATGCACTGCCACAGTTGGCGTTGTGTTGACGACCAGCCCCCAATTGGCTGATGGGCACCTTCTTCTTGGCCAATGAGACTGCAGTCTTACTATATCCCTTCTAATCGTCGAGTTTTAGTTGTTGCGCGTTTTATTTCCTTTTGAAGGCTCATCCGTACGTACTTCCCATTGTTATTGCATTATTCACTACATGTCTCCCATCTCCATCCACTTCTTTGAGATTATGCGTTTTACATCGGGAGTTATTGCATTTGAAGTATTGTACTCTTTGTAATACCAGGTTATAATCCACCTATCCAACATGCTCTATTTTAGTAAGTAAATGCTTTTTATTAGGTGGATAAAATTTTTATTAAAATGTTGGATGACGCTCACTCTGGAGGCAGTTACAGGAAATAGATTTAAGTAAACTTAACTTTCCAAAGGATGGAACATTATACTTCTATTTTTCATTGAAAGGTTTACCCCTTCCCTGTACGTTGGTATTAAAAGTATCATCTGCCGAGTAACATTGGATCCTATTTAGCATTCCACTTCGAATTTCGGCTGTTTTTAGGAAAGCATACGCCTAAAATCAAACAACCATCTGTCGCGATTATTTTAACCAATAATTTTTTTCGGAAACGTCAGACGTGTTTCCCCTCTATCGATTCTTCAATTGTATCGCCTAAAATTCAAATATTTGCGATAATTATGCAGTACTAACATGTCTAAACTAGCAGAAGGGAAGTTTGTCTGGGAATATGTTCATTTTGCAGGGCTATTAAAAGCTAGTTCTATTCTTTTCAAAGAACAAATAGCATTGAACATAAATTTATAGCCTTTGGTTATTCTGGTAAAGATTGTAGTGCAAGAAAGCCTTACCGTATATTTGCATGACCCGAGCATTTATACTAAGGGTGGCTAGAAATGTCATATGGTGCGTGGCTCTGTTGTTAGTCAGCGGAAATAGCCTTCCAGAGGATTGGAGCGATCGCAGATCACGCTACTCGATTTTACGCTGACTAGAAAACATCTGCTGCCTTTCCCCATCAAAGCAGATTAAAGGGGTCGCTTTCGCCCAATTTTTCTGTTTTAGCCAATACATTTGGTCGTTATGATAGAGTTGTCGTCCTCATGGGAATTGCAAGGTCGACGTAAGCTCTCCGATGTTCTCTTCATCAAGGAAGTCCAATTAGACAATCAGTGTTGTGATGATGAAGATATTGGTGGGTACGTAATATTTTAGTACATTAATTTGCTCTCTCGAAACGGTACTTTGGAGTGCTTCTTCAATTTCAAGGTCGAGCTAGCATAGCGATATGGATAAAATTTAAAGTGTTTCAAGTTCGGTCATTTTAAGTGACACCATCGAGCTGTCCTACTAAAGGATCAAATTGGCATGCGGCTGTATGCATCAGCCTGTTCGGATCAGCTGACAAATATTTTGGTGAAATATGATTACCTTCTTGCCTGAAGTTCACTGCGCATGAAGCACAATGTGACAGGAAAAATATCGGTCTTATTGCTGTGGAAGGAGAGAATGCAATCGGTTCTCTTTTAATGAGGAACGCATCGTTTCGAAGTATGATATTTCGCCTTTTGTCAGCCACCGGCCTCGAAGTTTAATTACTTAGTCTGGAATTCATTAGAGGTACAATTGGAAAAAAATGGGAAAGGAAATGAAAGTTTAAAGCATTTCGTATTGTAACGCGTTTGTTATTAGGGTCACGAACATGTAATTGAGTTTGCATGTCACAAATGCGCCTCAAGCATTCCGCATCCCACCAGTTGCAAACGAACTAGTTGAGTTTAGTTGGTGAAACGTGCACAAACAAGTTTTATCCTAAGGGCGATAAATGAAATTACTTTCTTTAGTGCTGAAATGATCAGCGGAGCAGTGTAGGTGTCGGTGTCATCTTGAAACATTAAAGCATTCGGATCGTAGTAGTGAATCTCCTTCTGAGACAAGCACTGGAAGTGTGGATTGAATTGTACTGCCACAAGACCCAAAAGTGAGGATATCCAGGGGACATGTGCTAATCTAACAGGCCTCAGTTCCTTTAGTTTGATGAGTGAAAGAAGCTGTTCAACCACTTGAACGTAGAAGTTGGAAGCATTGTCATTGATACATTTAAAGAGGTTGGAGTAATGGCTGTACTTTCAAATAACCTTCCCAAGTCAAACTTTGGCCTAGTCTTGCTATTTGCGAAATGTACTGAATTATTAATTTAAAATTAGGATCCTTGGTCTAAAAAAACATATTTTACTGAGCGAACCCTGTGCTTATTTTGTTCACTTTGTTGCATTCACGCACTCTCACCAGTAATTAACTCAGTTTGTGTAAGAACGGCTTTGTTACAGAGATTTGCCATTGCAACTGAGCTGTTCCAGGTTAGCTTAGTTTATTTGATGAACCATGTGCTAGGTTTTTGACGCTGCAAAGATGGTGTGGGTTGGAAATTGAACTGTCTTGGTTAGAATATTTTTGCTGTTATGCTGGCGTTTGGCCTCTTTGTACTCCCACCATGAGTCAATTACCTTGTTTCTAATCACCCGCTCTTTGCTCTTGAGATGTGAAGAGATGCCCGATGGTTCAGGTTCTACGTTGCCCAGTTGATTCTTTCATCGATGCGGTCAACCCTTACTCTTACGTGTAGGGTCGTTACGGTAGTATGGCATCATAGTTTCTGCACGAAGAGCGAAGGTAGCAATGTAATTTTGATGGTTTAATGTGTTTTGACAGCGTTTTATTATGAATTGATTTTCTTCAATTTTCTTTCTTTTTCTACGACGATCATGGGCAAAGGACCGATCATAAGCCTCTTGATATTGCTTCTAAGTTTGACTATAGTTCGAGGTTCTTAGATCACCATGCTGTAGTCATGCTTATTTTAACAATTAGCTTCTCATCACTCCTCCAAAATACTCGAATGCTTCAGTTTTATATCCATATGTAATCAGTCAGGTGTGCGTTCTTTGTTCTATCATTGACTCAATTTCGCGACATGAAAATTGTGAACTGACTAGGTAGTGACTGTGATGAAGTGATATTCTTTTGCACATGTGTACAAAGTTTAGACTTATTTAGCTGTTGATGTGTAGAAAGGCCGGAGAATTTTCCCTATAGTACGGGTACAAGTTCGCTATCTCACAACAAGTACAATAACGTGCATACTCTGATCGTTCTTTTAAGATTACTTTTTTACAAGCGTATTTACTGAGCCACTTTAATTATTCAGTTCTTCCTACTTTATGTCTATTTTAAGGATGTTTAGCTGCCGGCTTGGATTAATTCAACTACCAGGAACGTGGGGAAGCGGCATTCTTCACGTACTTCGTTTGGTTCCGTTAGCCCTTTAAACACCTTCGTTTTCTTTCTAGCCCTGCGATTCATGTCACCAACATTTTTGCCATCAAAATCTACGAATTCCAAAATGCCTGTGCGATTGAGTATTAAATTACTCCAAATATCATTCCATTAGTGCAAAATGAAGTCGCAATTTCTTTCCCATCCATATCTTTGCCCCTTTTTACCAGCGACCTGGCAGTGGACGTATCTTGCGAGTTCGCCTCGAAACCAGTGATTCTCCAGCCTTACCTTCATCCTGAGGTGAGCTCTGCTGGTCCCTGTTGCATCATGATTCGGTTATCGACACAGCGTAATCTACGCATCGTCCAAGTGGTGCTTATATCTTCCTCGTCGCACATTGATTTTGTTGACCGCTATGGTGAAGCCCTAGCGCGTATCGAAGGCGTTTCGGTGCCCGGCTTGGAAAGTCTTTTTCGCTGCTCATCTGGTCGTCTCTCACCTCACACAGAATGCGTGGTCAGAGTGAGCTTCAAATAATTATTTTTTGTTATTAAACG